TCTTTCTGTCTTTCTGTCTTTCTGTCTTTCTGTCTTTCTGTCTTTCTGTCTTTCTGTCTTTTCTTTCATTCCCTCCTTCCTTCCTTCTTTCTTTTTAATTTTGAGTGTTTCCTAAGTGAGGACTCAAATATGAGATGGAAAGAAGTATCCATGAAAAACAAAGAACAGTTTATGGGACACTTATTCTATGTCTGGTATATTTAGCACTAAATGTTAGATTGTGCATAGCCTTACCTCTGAAATGGGGGGTGTGGAAAATGTTCAACCCGCTTGAATTAGAACAGACCAGAGGACTGAGCCTGCCTATCTGGCATCCCCGTGCCATCTTGGCCCACTCATTGCTCTTTGCTGGTACCCAGACCCTTTCTCAGTGACCCTCAGGAAGTCTTGTGAGCACTGCGGGATGAGTGCCACCCGAGGTCTCTTGTGTCTCCTCTATGTGGAGAGGATATGTTTCCAACTTGAAGATCCTTACTGCAGAGGGCTGACATTTGGCTTCTGGGATATAAAAAACTTCTAGAAAGGTGAAAAGAGGTCAAATTCAAAAGGTTTTTTTTTTAATACTTTGAACAAATAAAGTTCATAGTGGTTTCAGAGCCCCACAGAGGAAGGCAGAAGAGAACTTAAAGTCTGTGGGCCACATGGTACCAGACCTGTCCCAAACTCCAGGCATTCCACCCACAAATGTCAAAGAATTGTACATATAATTCGTTTTATTTCCGAGTTGTCTTTTGTGTGTCTCTTCAATGACTCATCTGCGTACCTATTACAATGGCAGGACTTTGGAATGGCGGAGGAATTTGCTACTAAGGCCCTGGAGCTGAAACCGAAATCTTATGAAGCATACTATGCGAGAGCAAGGGCAAAGCGCAGCAGCAGGTGAGGCGGGGGAGGGTGAGAAGCAGCAGTGTCTGAAAATCTGGCCAAGGCCATGCAGGTCACCCTGGGGTGTGTGCCCAGCTTGCCTGCCCTTGTGGACTCTCAGAGACAGGCCTTGTACACAGGACAGAGCTCACGATCAGCACTTCTCCTGAGCACCTTAGGAGAAAAGTAAATGGAAAAAGACATGTTCTTCCAGGAAGCCTATGCCGTGTCTCAGTCACTTTTTCAGCCCCAAGCCAGTGGCTTGAAAATAGGAAAGCAGAACCACTTGAGCCACAGCTCCTTTCTACCTTCCCAACAGGAAATCAGGACAGTCACCCACAGACTCTTGTCCTTTCCTCAGGCATTCCCCAGATTATTTAGTGCTCCATAGAGGGTTCTCACCTAAACTGCAGTACAGAGGGAGAGAGAGGAGACCCTGCTGCCAGGGCTGAGGTGGCACCATTCCTTGTGCCCATCTGCTGTGCCTTGGCCACTGAGCAAGAAAGCCTCCAGAAGGAGCTAAAAACTGCCAGTCACTGTTCTTGATGCCTCCTGCCCAGCACCTGTCTTCTCCCCTGCATGGGAAGGAACCGTTTGGGATTTGATGCTATGACCCAGGGGGATATGTCTGCAAAAACCAAATCAAGGCTAGTGACACTGAAGGCAGTGACCTAGAGTCATAACGTATTTATAGAAAGTCAACTATTAATCCTCTCTCTCTGGGATTGTTCCTTTTCCACAAGGTGAGTTGTCCACTTTCTGGGTAATTTTAACTGGGAGGATAGGAATATTCCTCGTTTGTAAATAAGAATCTTCTTGAAGTAAGCTCAGCTCTACTCTCAGTTACCTAACCAGCAAATTTAATTCCTGTGGGCTGTGACCTTGCAGAAAGACACAAACACCAGTGCTGTTGGGTGATAGAGAAAAGGGACAGAGGACAGACAGCCTTCGTATCTAGGATGTAAGGGGCCTGACGTTTAGACCAAAATATTGAGAATATTTGTTTAATTCCACAAGATGAGCTGGGCATGGTAGTGCACACCTTTAATCCCAGTACTCAGGAGGCAGAGGCAGGTGGATCTCTATGAATTCCAGAACAGCCAGGGCTTCACAGAAAAACCCTGTCTCAAACACCTCCCACTCCCCAAAAATTATACTGGATCAGTTACTTTGTTCCTAAGCTACTTGACAGTGACACTGTAAGTGACAGCCCCAGCCAACCCCATACTGCCTAGGATGCACTCAGGAATAAGGTCTTCTGAAGGGTCGGTCTCAGCTGACATAATGAGGGCGTTCTCTGTTAACCCCAGAGAGGCCATAAGGAAGATGAGGGACAAAATGTCTAGGGAATCATTCTGGACTCTTAGAATAGCAGCCTCTTTGCTCCCTTCCTTGTAAATCAAGCTGAATTAGACCCTCTTAGAGTCCCACAGAGCCCCTGATGCAGTCCTCTGAACTGGTGGCCGTCTTCTCCGCTCCTCGTGATCCCTATTCACTCGGAATAACCCCATTCTTATGTTTGCATTTTGTCAAGCAGACAGTTTGCAGCAGCCTTAGAAGACCTGAAAGAGGCCATCAAGCTATGTCCAAACAACCGTGAGATCCAGAGGCTTCTAATGCGAGTGGAGGAGGAATGTAGACAGATGCAGCAGCAGCAGCAGCAGCCACCACCGCCGCCCCAGCAACCTCAGCAGGAGTTACCAGAGGAAGAGACAGAGCCCGAGCCCCCGCATGAAGATATATACTCTGTTCAAGACATATTTGAGGAGGAGTACTTGGAACAGGATGTTGAAAACGTTTCTATTGGCCTCCAGACAGAGGCTAGACCCAGTCAGGGGCTCCCAGTAATTCAGAGCCCACCTTCCTCTCCAGCTCATCGGGACTCAGCCTATATCTCTAGCTCACCTCTTGGCTCTCATCAGGTTTTTGACTTCCGGTCCAATAGTTCTGTAGGTTCTCCCACTAGACAAGGTTATCAGTCCACCTCACCTGCTCTTTCTCCAACTCACCAGAATTCTCATTACAGGCCTAGCCCACCACATACATCCCCAGCTCATCAGGGTGCATCTTACCGGTTCAGCCCACCTCCTGTGGGAGGGCAGGGCAAGGAATACCCGAGCCCTCCCCCTTCCCCTCTCCGTAGAGGCCCTCAGTACCGGGCCAGCCCTCCAGCTGAGAGCATGAGTGTCTATAGATCCCAGTCTGGCTCCCCTGTACGCTATCAGCAAGAAACAAATGTGAGTCAGCTACCTGGTAGACCAAAATCCCCACTATCCAAGATGGCCCAGCGGCCCTACCAGATGCCTCAGCTTCCAGTAGCAGTTCCCCAGCAAGGGCTCAGGCTACAGCCTGCCAAGGCCCAGATTGTAAGAAGTAACCAGCCTAGCTCAGCAGTCCACTCAAGCACTGTCATCCCGACAGGAGCCTATGGCCAAGTAGCCCATTCGATGGCTAGTAAATACCAGTCTCCACAAGGAGATATGGGAGTGAGTCAGAGCCGATTGGTTTATCAGGGATCCATAGGGGGGATTGTAGGAGATGGGAGACCCGTACAGCATGTCCAAGCCAGCCTGAGCGCCGGTGCCATCTGTCAGCATGGAGGATTGACCAAAGAAGATCTGCCACAGAGACCCTCCTCTGCCTATCGAGGTGGCATGAGGTACAGCCAGACACCACAGATTGGGCGTAGCCAGTCAGCATCCTATTATCCAGTCTGTCACTCAAAACTAGATCTGGAACGTTCCTCCAGCCAGCTGGGTTCCCCTGATGTGTCACATTTAATCAGAAGACCTATCAGTATCAACCCTAATGAAATTAAGCCCCACCCACCAACTCCCAGGCCACTGCTGCACTCGCAGAGCGTGGGCCTTCGCTTTTCTCCATCTAGCAATAGCATCGCGTCCACCTCCAACCTGACTCCCACCTTCCGGCCTTCTTCTTCAATTCAGCAAATGGAGATCCCACTGAAGCCAACATATGATAGGTCATGTGATGAACTGTCACCAGTGTCTCCCACTCAGGGAGGCTACCCTAGTGAGCCCACCCGATCCAGGACCACACCATTCATGGGGATCATAGATAAAACTGCCCGGACTCAACAGTACCCCCACCTTCACCAGCAGAATCGGACCTGGGCAGTGTCGTCCGTGGATACCGTTCTCAGTCCCACATCTCCAGGCAGCCTGCCTCAGCCTGAGTCCTTCAGTCCACCATCATCCATCAGCAACATTGCCTTTTATAACAAAACCAACAATGCACAGAATGGCCATTTGCTGGAGGACGATTATTACAGCCCCCATGGGATGCTGGCTAATGGGTCACGTGGAGACCTCTTGGAAAGAGTCAGCCAGGCCGCCTCCTATCCTGACGTGAAGGTTGCACGGACCCTACCCGTGGCTCAGGCATACCAGGACAACCTGTACAGGCAATTGTCTCGGGACTCTCGACAAGGACAGACATCGCCTATCAAACCAAAGAGACCATTTGTGGAGTCTAATGTTTAAGAGACATTTGTTGGAGTGAGACCCATATGTTTTCACTGCACATTTCCAGGCTTGGTTTTCACATCTGAGGTAGTTCTCTGGCTTAATTTCTCATGTAGTTTCTGTGTGGTGTTCAGAGGTGACAGCCCACATGTTGAAATCCTTTGCATGCAGCTGACTAGGAAGCTGGCCTCTGGTGAGCCAGGACTTTCTCGGGTCTGTGCCCCAGCCACATGCTCTCTCCCTCTCTTCCGATGCCAACAAGGAGATTTTGTGCCGTGAGCTTTAACCAGGGAGATCAGACACACTGGTCGGCTTTTTCCAGGAGACAATCGCTTTCACTGATGTTCTTGTTGTATGAATGTCTCTTTCCTTTTTAAAAAGTAAGATGTTCTTGTTTGGTTTTTTTCTAGAAACTCTAGGAAGTGTGTGATGCCTCTTTGTCCTTGGATTCTTACTCAGTGTTCCACATGGCCAGCCCCAGTGCGTTCCTGGGCCATGGTCTCCTCCCCAGACTCCAGCTCCCTGCAGGCATCAGGTCTAGAATCTTCATTTACTGTATTGCTGGTCTTCCCCTGGGATAAAGGGATCTAGGGGAGAGTGAGAAGGAAAGAAAGCTGCTAAATCAGAAGAAAAGCCCACTATAATTATTTGGAATGCTACCATATGGATTTTCCAAGAGGCATTTTGAGAACATTTAGTAAACATTCACCCTTTAAATAAATTGATCAGCCATGGAAATTCCAGGATGACTGTGGGTATTTTTAAAACACTCACCAAGAGTGGGCTTTAACCACTAAAGGCTACTGATTTTCCAAGGCTAGAGGAGGAAATAGATATAGAGAAAAGATAAAAAGGGGGATAAAGATTGTTCTTCCTTCCCACTGGAAGAAATCTGTCTTGGAGACGTCTGCTTCTTAGATCCTGAAACAGCACCGAGCAGACTGTTGAGGTCTGGCTGGTACAGTAACCCTCTTAGCTCCTCTTCCCCTGGAGCCAGGGGAACCTCGCTGCCTCACACCCAGATGGTGTTAAGAAGGAACAGGTTCTTACAGAACCCACTTAGATTCTCTTGGGACTGTCAGGCCCATCCCAGGGTTTCTACCCAGGCCACTGCATTTCATGCCAGCTGTTAACTGATGCCATTTTAAGACCTCTGGTTTCATTATTCACTGTTTAAAGAGTTGTGTCTTTTGTCTAGGAGTGTTTAGGGGTAATCTTTGAAAATCAGAAATAGCCAACAGTGTTGCAGACTCCTTTGACCCCTGGGTAGGGGCATGAGATTGACCACAGGCCTTCTCTTCCATCAGCGTCTGCACATCTAGGTCTTGTGGGTGTCTGCTGACCTGAGACAGCTGAGACAACTACGAGACAGGCAGCAGGAGCACAGGAGCTGAACTGCAGCACAGTCCTGTCTCTGGCTCATGTCAGTTCTTAAAACCAAGCAACTCAGACCAGGAAACTAACCAGAGGTGTTGGTCCCACGTTCTTAGGGAACATTTTACTTTTGTTAGTAAAGGGATACAGGAAGGACAGTATCTTGAACAAAATCCAGCTGTGACCTGTTTGGAATACAGGTTCTCTGAAAGGACCTATGAGACATGCAGAGCTTGACACTGAGATCAAACGCCCTTTTCTCTGATTTAGATTATGCCAGTAGATGAATCCCAAGCTGAAAATGGATCAGGACTCATCTCTATAAGCAGAACAGTTTTCAGTATGATATGGAAGAACTGCCCCCATTCTCCTAGACTAGGAGAGGCATCAGTGATCTCTTCCTACCTGTCCATCCACCTGTCTATATCCCTTCCTACCTGTCCATCCACCTGTCTATATCCCATCTCTCCCATCTGGAAGAGGAAGTTTATAGCTGTGAGGTTAGCCTGTAGCTGGGAACAGCAACTTCTTGGCTCCTGGTGTGGCCTGGACACAGCCCTGTTGGTCTCTATGTCGTTTGCTATCTGAAGCACTTCTAAGAGAGTTCCTACAGCCCATTAGAAAGTGCTCCTGCCTATTTGGTAAGCCACACTTCCCTAGCCTTACCTGCCTAGGTGGGTTAGAATGCCATGCAGGCCTACAGATACACTACAGCTGCCACTTTTCCCTCATTTTTCTAGGAAAAGCAAGAGAATAAATGTCTCTACCCCCACCTGAGAGAGTGGCTGTCACTGCTGTGTGCCAGTGGGTTTCGACTAGAAAACACCAACAGGAACTTCTTGAGGCAGAAACTAAAACGAGGGTCTTCTATAGATGCAGACGCCTGCGCCCTGCTTTGCTACGTCACTGCCATGGGTTGATCTTAGTACTGTATTCTGAATGTGTCCCTCCCTTCCCAGCAACGAGCATTTGCCAGGCACGGCTAGCTTCAGGATGGAAGAAATTTTTCGGATGAAACTGGCAAATTCTGCTCACTCAATTCACATCTCCCTTAAGTAGACAGGTGACAAACTTCAGCTTGTAGGTTTTCACCAAAATGTCCCTTTGCCCACAAGCCTTGCACTAATAGGTTCCCATCACATCATGTCTAGAAATGGGTGCACTTTACTGTGAGAATTTGTAACTCTGGTAAATACTGGATATTTAAGTGTGAGTAATGTCTTCATTAGAAATTAGCAGAGTCACTCTTGTCTCAAGTGTGTTTTTCAAGAAAAAAAAAAACAAGGAAAGAAATCAAGCAGTGGATCACAGCATTCATAGCACAAGAACTGACTGTTGTATATAAGCCTCAACAAGATTGAGAATCTTTAAACACAAGAGAATATTTGCAGTGATTTTAAAGTGCTTTCCAGCAATTTTCTTAGGGACTCCTGAGACATGGTTCATTTATTTACTGGATCAGTAAGGCACACAAGTAACAGTTAAAATTAATGTTTATTTACAAAGTAAAGGGAAAATCTGTGTAACACGAGAATTTGGCATGGACAAATGGAGATCATTTTGTATCTGCTGTTGTGTCTGTCCAGATCGCAGACGTGCACTATTAAAAGCCCAAGTTAATAGAGCACAGCCCCTCTTTCCTCTCCCAGGCGCCCCTTCTAGGTGTTTAACTGAAACTTGATGGCTCAGGAAAATTCCACTAATTAGAATCATGTACAGTATCCCAGGTTGTTGTCCAGATATCCAAGTTTGCTGATTTTAGTTAAGCCTGGACTATTAAACATTTTTCCTAAATTATTATAAACAGAACAGCTTAGAGAAAGGTGTTCTCAGCCCTTATATTGTATAGTAGTTTATGATCTCCTCTAAATATTGGTATTTTTATATTCCAGAGATATACCCAATAGAAAAATTTAAAACCAGTATCTAATTTAATATCCATAAGTATTTTTCCTTAGAGTTTAGTCATGCAGTGGGATATGTGGATGTCACGTGTGCTTCACCATACTCTACCACTAGGTGTCACTGTGGCTCTGCATCATACTTACCTGGTTACAAAGAATGGCTTTGTGGAGCTGCTGCCAGTGCCAAGGCAGACCCATAGCCTGGAGGTTCAGGAAGATGGGAACAGAGGCCTGGAGGGTCTTCATGCATCCATGCCACCTTAGCAAGACAGACTCTGAACAGCACCTGTTTGGGAGGTTAGGTGGATGGGCCTTTTCTCCCCTGAGCACCCCTTCTCTCAGTTCCACTCAGCCTCCAGCTTTTCTAACTCCACAAGTATCATGGTTGGGTGGTTTGATTAAAGATAGTTATTTTTCTACTGCAGAAATGCCTTGGACAAAAACAGTTGCTCACTGAATCTTTGCCACTCAATGGAACAGGCTCCCCAGGTGGCAGGATATGCTGCCTCTGTGCCCATCCCTGTTGAGCCTCCCAGGGCTCAGCAGCCCCACCCACCCTGCCTGTCTACCCTCTGGCTGCCCAGTTCTCAAGAAGCGGTCTGCTGCCGCCTTTACTCTGGGGGCCACACTGCCCTGCCGCCGCCGCGTGCTTGTTGAGAGGTGTGACTTCTCCTTTTCCTCTGGGAATTCCAGACTGACCATCTACCATGACTAACAATGAACAAAGGGCTTAGGGGTAAGAGCTACCTACAAAGACGTGTCATGGAAACCTTCACCATGCAATGCCTTGAACTCAGCTCTGGCTGCTCCCGAGACAAGGTGGCTGGCTAGGGGCCTGGACACAAGCACAACGGGGCTGGTGGAGCCACTGTGCAGAGCTACTTGAATATTCACTGGGTCTTCATCAACTCCTTTTGTAATACAGACCACTCAAGGGCTGAAGTGTTGGTAACCTTCATTTCGGTGTCCAATGCCTCACAGCAGCTGAGCCACCCTGAGATGCTTGTGGTCACATGATGGCCACAGTCAGAGCTTTGAAAGTTGGTACCAAATGAACGTATAATTGGACACCAAAAATCAAGTGTTACTCTCATGTTTCCTCACCCTGCCATCTCGTTTCTCCTCCTGACTGTGATCCCTACACTAAGCTGACCAGTCAGGCTACAGCTGGCTGCACGCAGATGCCAGCCAGCACCATCTCCGGGTTTCAGATAGACCTACTCCGTGGGAAGGACTTGGCTAGCTGCTCTGTTCTGTAGCACTTGATGGCTGGGTTTTCCCTTTGCTAATCACTAACCAGGAAATCTGGCTAGGACTCAAATCACTCCCTTCAATCCCCAGGACCAGAGAGAGAGTTAATTCTGGAAAATTCAGTACTTGAATGTACCTGCCTTACTGTGTACCCATTCACTGGGGGGGAGGGGGGGACTAGTGATGCGGCTCTAGATAGCCACTCATTCACATGTTATTTTGGAAATCCTGTAAGTTATACTGTCCTGATTTCTTTTGGTTTTTAATTTTTTTTTTAACATTTGGCTGATTCCTGCTGAGTTGGGCCAGTTCCTGTGGGGCTCAGGGCAGGTGCCGTTCTCAGGCATGGCCTCCCTTCCATCTAGCACAGCGTCTGTCTCTCTGTTCTGTCTCCTCCAAATCCAAGATGATTTTAATTAGTACAGACATGTACAGTCTACAATTAAAGAGTGATTTGTACTAATATGATTTTGATTATTCCTCTTTGCTGTCCTTTCAAGACACTTGCTGGAAAAAGCTTTAATGCACTTAGTTTTCCTCTAGGTTTTCTATAACTCAGATGTAAAGGACTTCCTCTGTACAGTATATTATCCAATGCATGTTTGTTCTCTAGCCTAATATATCGAACACCACACAGTCGTGAACTCGTGCAGTGGGGACACCCCACACCCAGCGGAGGCCTCCAGCCCCGTGTATAAGGAAGACATTTCCTTTGCTGTACTTGCTTGAACAGTTTTATTGTCTGTACATGTGAGCTGTGTGAGATAGATGTGAAAAGTTTAAATGAATGCATTTTCCTGCCCAATGTATACAGAGCGTCAACTGTACAATGAGCTGTATGTATGGAAGCAAATGTACTTATTTATAAATGGTCAACACTTGGAGAAACCTGGTGTCCGGTGCTTTTCTCCTCCGTGCTCTGTCCAGGGAAGTGGCTTCCAAACTCACCCTTACCTGAAACGGCAATGCCGAGGATGCCACCCCAGAGATAACTCAGCGGTTGAGGCTAAGGCCACACTCCTGATGACCTGCTTGCTCAGAGTCATGCCATCTGCATCTGTTCATCCAGTTGTTGGGTGTCTCTGAAGTGAACACTGATGGCCCAGCACATCTCTAGAACTGCGGTGAAGACTGGCTGGCCGTGTAAGCATCTCTGAGGTAGACTCTGATAGCACTTGAGGGGGACATGTGTTAGTGTGGGGTTAAAGTAGCCTTAGTTTTCAGTAGCAGCTTTGCAGAAGCACTGTCCTTCCTTTAGTTTGCTTGTTTGGAATGAGTTTGACTGAATAACCCTGGCTTCACTGTCCTTTCTCGGGCTTAGCCATAAACTCCTGAATTCATGATGTCTTTGCCTTAGCCTCCCAGGCCTGGCACAATCAGTCCAGCCTGTGTGCCACAGTCACCTTCAGAGGAGAGAAGGCTCTGGAAGGAACCACGTCTGCAAAACCATTTGCTTCATTAACAACTAGAATTTTTTTTAAAGATTTATTTATTTATTTATTTATTTATTTATTTATTATGTATAGTATCTGTCTGTATGCTTGCTGGCCAGAAGAGGGCACCACATCTCATTACAGATGGCTGTGAGCCACCATGTGGTTGCTGGGAATTAAACTCAGGACCTCTGGAAGTGCAGTCAGTGCTCTTAACCTCTGAGTCATCTCTCTAGTCCATACAAAATTTTTTTTAAGTTTGCAAACATCAGCTTTTAAAGGATTCCTGGGGCACTGAAAGAATGAAACAAGGTAGAGTTTGAGGGGGAAAATAATTCTTAAAAGAATTTTCCTAGATAAAAAGCCACTCAGTGAAGCAGTGAGCAGCAGATGTCTTCGTGGGTTCTCGGAAGTTCCTCATTACTCCATCTCTTACTAGTTGCCTTATGGGTCGGTGCTGCCTTATGCTGGTCTATGAAGAAGCTAGACTCCATTGGACTGGGAAAAGTCAGGCAGCATCCAGTGGAGGGGAGGGGAGCAGGACAGCTTAAAAGTCAAGCCACGGGAGCATGGAGCCCCTGATGACTGAGTCCTTGGGTTCCCAGGAGTGGCCTGGAAAGCCCAGGGTAACGGCTCAGAGTCGCTCTCTCATCTGGGCTGGATTGCACCCAGAGACTGTGCTAGGGACTGGACATTGCAGTGACACACAGCAAGCCACTTTCGTCAGAGCGTCCATGGTCTTTCTCCTGGAGCAAGGCTCCGGTGTGAACCCTTATTTGCTTAGAAGTATTTAAAGCGCATGGCTGAGAACGTGTCACAGGCTGTTCCATAAAATGTGGCGGAGGGGGGAAGGTTACTGCCACAGCCTCCAAACTTGTTTCTTCCTACCTTTCTTGGCAACTCTTTAAAAACAGTTTTTACTTACTGAGAATTTCATACATGTATATTTTGGTCATATCCACCCTCAGGTCTTGACTCCTCACAGACCTCTTCCATATCTCCCTCCCAACTTCATGAGTTTTTTTTTTTTTTCTTTTTAACTCGCTGAATCTAGTTAGTGCTACAAGTATGTGCTGGATGTCAGGCCATCTGTTGGAGCAAGAGTAACCTAGCAAGGGCTACATCCCCGAAGGAAACAGACTGTCCTTCCCACAGAAGCCATCAGCTAGTGCCTCTGCTAGGGGCCTGGGCCTTTCGGCTGACTTGATCTGGTGCAGGTCGCATGCATACAGCTGTAATTGCTGTGAGTTGGTGTGCAGTGGCCCTATCATGTCCAGAGACACTTTACAGCAATCCTTGGCACTTAAGCTGTCTCTGCACCTCCCTTCCTTCATACTGATCCCTGAGCCTCCGGGAGAGGGATGAGGCATTATATCACTCAACACTTTGATCGCTTTTTATAGAACTGCCATCTGCTGGGAAGACAAGCTTCTCTGGTGAGAGTTTAGAGTTGCCTAAGTATTTAGAGAATAAGTTGATACTATGTCCATTTAGCAAAAGAAGAGAAGTTTAATGACCTTTAGAGTCAGTTCTTGGGCCACAGGTTCTTGGGCCAGTCATACGAGCCGTGACTATGGAACAGGCCTTAAATTCAGTCAGAAGGCTGTTGGTTACCCCCCAGAACATCCATGCCACTATGATACCAACAGACATCTTTCCAGGCTGGTCATTGTTGCAACTGGCAAGGGTTCACAATGACTGGTTTTAAAAGCCAGGATCAGGGGAAATTCTGTATTCTTTACACGAGCCTCTAATGGATGGCCCTTTCTCCAGAATGCTGTGTCTGAGCAGATCCTGAGAGCTGAAGTTTCTCAAAAGCACAGAGGCAAAGGCAGAGCTCAGAATCTCTCCACCCTGCTGCTGCTTCTCTCAAACGGGTGGTCAAGGTGAAAACCATCAGAAGGGCACTGAAAGAGGCCCAGGCACTGGGCCCAGATGCAGACCTTGCTACACATGGCTCAAATTCAAAAGAGTTGACGTGAGGACCTCTCAGGACCCCAAAGCCAGCTAGAGGGAGCCCTTGCTCTCATCGAACTTAAGATCTGCATAGGAGTCAGAGCAGTGGTATAGCCTTGGCCTCCAGTGTCTGGCATCATTTGAAAATTCACAATGAGAGCACAAGATTCAGGGTAACCCCAAACCCAGAAGTAAGATGAGACCTAGCACTCACAATCAGGATCTCCCTGCCTTCTCCCACCAGGAGAAGCCTGTGTTTGACATTGATAGTTTGCGCATGCACTAAGCCATGTGCTTTAGATACCTTTAAAGAAGTGAAAGTCCACAAGGAAGCCTTGGTTGAAAGTGGTGGTTCTCAACCTGTGGGTCACGACTCCTTTGGGGACCAAATGACTTGCACAGGGGTCACCTAAGAGTACTGGAAAACAGATAATTTACATTATGATTCCTAACAGTAGCAATGTTACAGTTATGAAATAGCAAAATAATTTTGTGGTTGGGGGAGTCGCTACAACATGAACTGTATTAAAGGGTCACAGAGTTAGGAAGGTTGAGAACCACTGGTTTAGAGGAAAGACCTTGATTCTGGCTCCTATACAGCAACCAGCAACAGAAGATAAAGCTGAGCAAATGCTGGAAAACCACTTATGAGAGGATTTCCTGTAAACTCCCTTCAAATAGCGAGCTCCAAGCCAGGCAGTGGTGGCGCACACCTTTAATCCCAGCACTCAGGAGGCTGAGGCAGGTGGATCTCTGTGAGTTCCTGGTTTACAGAGTGATTTCCAGGACAGCCAGTGCTGTTACACAGAGAAACCCTGTCTCATAAAACAAAAAGAAAGAAATAGCTCTCTAGTAAGTTATTTTTAGCTTTATTTCTGTCATTGGGGGTATTTATTTCTGTTTGTTTGTCCTGATACAGAACCTTACCTATGCTAAGTAAGTACTCTACCACCTCCAGTCCTGTTATTTTAAGATGGGGTCTGCCCTTGTAGTTCAGGCAGGCCTCAAGATCCTCCTGCCTGCCATGTGCTGTGATGAGACATGCATAGGTAGGCACAGTGAGACCCACCCAGATTTTCCATGAGCATAGCTCCTGCATGAGTCACATTAATCAACCTAACACAGAGTCTCAGCTCATTCTTACAGACGATGTACTTGGGCATCAGCCTTCCCAGGATCAGGCAGGTAAAAAACCAAGGAAAGCTCTGAAAGGACCTCAGAGTTGGCACAAGACATCCCAAGACTAAGTTCTCAGCACAAAGGAGATTTATTTGCCCCCGAGGGACAAAGACAGGGATAGAGGATGAGGGAGAAGGGGAAAGGAATAGGGAGCGGGGAAGGATGCTTGCCCTGGAGGGACAAAGGATTGCCTCTGGAAGGAGAAGAGACAGATGTGGCCCATAGGCAAATGGCGGTTTATAAAAGGTACAAGGGGAAACCCCGTGTTGGGAAGAGTTGGTTCGTTTTGATTGAGCATGTCAGTTGGGATAACCAAAAGGGGGCTTTTGATTGCTGGACTGCTATAGTTTGATAGCTGGATCTTAATGGTCAGCCTCAGGAGGAGGAAGTGGCTAGATGTAACTAGCTTTCGGAATGTAGTCTACAGTTTAGCAAGGCAGAGGAATGGGGGAGAAGGGTAAGAGAAAAACTGTGGGTGCAGTGTTTGCCATGCTCGGGCCTCCTCCAGCCCTCTAGGATCCCCTCCACGGGGGCCAAAGCCGACCACCACAGAGACCTGTCCATCCTGTGCTGAGAATCTGCCAGTCACTTTATCTGCCGTGCCCACCCTGGGGACAGTTTCTCTCATCCCTAGTAGAACTAACGTCGGAATCTGACGGCATACATAAAGCTTTGAATCCTTTTCTTGCCTCCTCAAATGAAAACAGAAGGCGAGTGGTTGGCTGGAGACATTTATTGATTCATCCGTTGCACCAACAACACACTGTACGTCACAGGAGACAGCCACAGGCAAACACAAGAAACCACACACATCTGCTTGGGGCCTTCTTTGGTCCTAAGTCATGTATCATACACTCTGGCAGAAAGACTAGTTTACAGACTCTCGATGAGTTCTAGTTTTCTGTATAGTCTGGCACGGGAGATTCACAATGGTACTCAGGGTTTGTCTAAAGACAAGTCTCCCACATGTAAACATTTGACTGTATCGGTGTGCCAGCTGATGAAAGAACCGATAAGATCCCTATCCTTGCAGCATACGCAATTGAAACTGGAGGCGAACCCCACCATCCCTGCAAATGGAGAGCTGGAGGGAGGCCAGGGTGATGGGCAGCCCCGGGGAGAGGGGCCTCCACCACTGCTGGAGAAAGACACCCACAGCACAGTTACACAAGAAATCTGACAGAAGGTTGGCCTCTTGACCTAAAGGAATTATCAGGTTCAGAAACTGCTAATCTCCTTGCTAAATTAACCATGTCTGTCACAAACAGTAAGTCTCCTCAAGGCCCAGGAGAGGAGAGAGCATCTGCCAAGCCCAAGAAGCACGAGACCAATGCTCTAATCACATTATTTCTAGACTCAAGCCAAGCAGTGACTCAGCTAACAACACAGGCGGCAGGGGCTGAAGCTGTGTGCAGACACAGGAGACAAAGCCCATCCCTCTATCCACTTCAGTCCTATTGTCCAGGGAAGACTGACCCAGGTGTGGGAGGTCAATAATCCTCCAGGGCTGCTTCAGCCAAATGGGGCAACCCAGAACCCCCCTGGAGAGTAAGACAAACAGCAGAAGGTATGGGACCTACCCTCCCAGAGCCTGCCCAGGCTGGCCTGCAAAAGGAAACCAGGGCTCAGCCCCCTGTTGGAGGGAGGAACTGCCTGGATGGGCAGCTGGAGGCCAGGAGGCCCCTCGCTGCCAGCAGCCTGCCCTCATCCACCAGGGCAGGTACATACTTGTGTTCTGAGCACCTAGCCCCTTCGCTGAAAAGCCTATTTAAGGCTCAGGGGTTGAAGACCAGAAAGGTCCCCAACAGTGTGGACCTTTGGCCAAGCCACATGGCTCCTTCAGGGGCTGGACTCAGTCCTTTGGGGGAACTCAATCTGAACACCAGCATACTTTACACATCGTATCACTTGCTCTACTGCCAAGGATGTGTGCTTCCCAAGCTGCTGGAACGCCTGGGTTGAATACACAAGCAGCAGGCTTGGCTTTTCCACACCAGTCCCTCAGCCATCAGCTGCCTGGAGGGTGGAGCTAGCTCCCCTAAGGACCAGGACCAGGCTTGACCCCCAGTCCCCTTGACCAAGCTTTCTGCACGTGAATGGGCAGCAGGGGGTACAGGCAGGGCCTACACGTGGCTCACAGGATGCATCAGAAGCTACAAGCAAGGAAGGGAAAGCAGAGGACAAAGCCAAAACCTGGAATCCCACTAAACTAACACTGCTGTCCCGCACTCCTGGACCTAAAGTTTCAGGCTCTGCAGGGAGGAGCAGAAAGATATCCAGAAACCCACAGAATCGGGAGGATCACCCAAGGCCGTCACTGGGGACTGGGGCTGTCTCCCTCTGTCAGCGTCTTGAAGTCCATAGATAGCGCCTGCTCTTCAGCCTGGGAAGGCCGTTTCCAGTCAGCTTGAGCCAAGATGTAGAGCACAACCACCCCAAAACAGAGCAGCAGCAGGCCCAGCACGTTGGCTAGGACCCCCTCGGGTTCGAACTTGCTGTACTTGCTCCTGTAGGGCAGGGTGAATGGAGAAGCCACCAAGGGTCCCAGTTAGGGCAAGTGCAGCCCAGGCCTTAAAGATGCCTTGGGTTTCTCAGCGCCAACCCTTCCACCCTCCCAGTGAGAAAAGCCAGCTCAGAAAGATGCTTCCAATGAAGCAGGGGGCACTCAGGGCCCTGCCTCTTCAGGACACTTACCCAAGTTTGAACAGCAGCGCCTCCTTCAGGCCCAGGAGGGCTGTGCCCACAGAGAGAAGGAAGATGGTGGCACCATAAAATATGTGCTGTGGGCGGTACCGGCTCCGCAGAGAGAACGAAGCTCCCGGGAACAGGAAGAAGCTGAAACCCACGAGCCACTAAAAGGAGAAAGGACTCTGCTGAGCCATGAGCTGGCTGTGACCTAACTAACAGGAGGCCACCAAAGTATCCCTGCGTCCCCTCGAGTGCCAGAAGTGCAGCAGAACATTTATAGGAAAGGTGGCCTGATCCCCAAGACTGGAAGCCGTTTGCCTTGAGGTCTTGGACCGCCAGCAGCAGGTTCATCACCCCACGATTCGAGAAGCTGAGGCACGTGACTCAACACTTACATAGCGTCAGTGGGAAGGACAAAGGGGCCTGGGGCACCCTGGCCTCTGGAATCCTAAGCTTATACCCAGTTCAGCCTCTGAAAACAGCATCCAACTAAACTGACCAGCTCTCTCTCCTTTGGACATGAACCCTGGAAAATGGGCCCCTCTATGGCACACCTGAGCCCCACTACCCTCCCCTCCCCCAATCTGGGGTTAGACTCACCTGTACAAAATAAAGAACAAAGACTAAGATCCCACACCAGCTGTGCAAGCTGTACAGGTCTGAATAGCTCTTCTTCCTGTGATAGTCGAACACGGCCACCAAGCCTGGAGCGGAGGCAGGGGCCATATGAGGACAGGGCTGGACATGGAAAAGGGAGAGGAGGGGAGACCCGGGGGAAACTGCTAGCCAGAACTTCTGGGCTTTGGTCCAGCTGATGATGGCCAGCATCCCGTCCCTGCCTGGGATGCCGGAGGAGGAGAGTGGGGCAAGGCCAAGCAGCCTGGGGCAGGGACTGTCTACCCAGCTGCGGGAGCCTGAAGCAGCAGGTAGAGAAGGAAGGGCTGCACCCAAGAACTCACCCACCAGGGCGATGATGAGAGCAACAACATGAAGCAGCCCATGGAGGATCTTGGTAGTGCGTTTGGCTTCTTTTCTGAAGACACGGTACACCAGGAGAGCTTGTGGAAGCGGAAAAAGCTTTCAGTGTACAGGCCTGTGCTGGACACACTGGCGAGCCTGGCTGCCTAAACAAAGGTCTGTGCCAGGAGCGTCTTAAGGTTGGACAATTACAGAAACTGGAGGAGGGAACAGGATTGCACAGGGACCTTGCACCCATCCTGGTTTTGGTCGAGGGTGCCCTTGTCTACCCCATGCACACTCAAGGACCAGGAGAGGAGGTTGTGTCACACTTCCTGCCACCATCAGAGGCAGCAAAGGCAGGACTCTGCCCTGAGCACCCACTCAGAGCAACTGCTGGGCCTGAGCGCCGCGTGGCCTTGCCAGGTGTCCTATAACTCATTGATTCGGGAGCTCAGGATTCGTCATGCAGTCAAACTGCGGTGCTGGCCAGGCTCAGTGTACCTATTAGCAGAGTGCGATTCTGGAACCTTCCTAGGTAGGTAATCACTGTGATTGGCAGGCAGACTCCCAGCTTCCAAGGCTTAATGTGATCCTGCCCAATCTCCACTGCTACTGGGCGGGGAGGAGGGCAGGGCCTCTGGATGCCTCCTAGGACCTGCTGCTGGGAGGTGGCTGTCAGAACCACCCCCACCCAGCTCTCTGAAGGCAGTACTCAGGCCAAGCACCTGCTGGGACTTATCCCAGGGACAAGCACTCTAACTCAGCCATGTCTCCATTCAACAATCACACATGTACATGTGTCTACTTTCCCAACTTCCAGCTGCCCCTGAAGACAGTGTAGCTCGCCACTCAGGCTGGCTCTGCTGTAGAAGGCAGCCATGGCCCCTGAGATGCCACCTGCTGAGGGCAGCTATTACCCTCCAGCCCCAGGTTCCCTGGACTAGCCCCAGGACTCACCATCTCCTTGCAAGAAGATCATGCCTATGACCATGCAGAGTGGGTGCACGTTAAACTGCAGCGAGCTGTCCCAGGCAATGCCACCTCGGTACAGACCCAGCCATGCGCCAGTCACAGCCACCACGGTGAGGCCCAGCAGCTGGGAGAAGGCCACGTAGTACGGCAAGGCAGCAGGGACGGAGGCACCACCGGGCTCCATGCTGAGACCCCAGCTACAGGAGACACAGAGGTCTAGTGAGCCACCCACGGCCTTCAGAAGGCGCACTCTGCCTCGTGGCAGCTGCAGCCTCCTCCACGCCAGAGTGTAAGCTGTGCACCCTAGCTTTCCCACATTCAAGACCACTGCCATCATCCTGGGGTGGAGTCCCAAATCCTAGGAACACTTCACCAGGAGGCCAGGCCTACCCACAGAGGCAAACCTGACCTGGGTTCTGTGTACATGGGAGGGCACAAGTTTATAAACATCCCGAGTTTGGATGACAGCATGGGCCCCATCCCTGGGTTATAATTCCTGTTTCCTGAGGCCCTGGGTGTTCTGGGGTGAGGTTGACAGATACATCAGAAACACAAGCATATACCCTGAAGGTGCAGAGCTTACCACTCCTTTCTCCAGATAGATGGAAAAGTCCTTCCTGGGTAGGAATAGTAGCCTTGCTCCTTCACCGATTTGTAAGCCTCAAGCCCTAATCCTAATGGAGAGCCATGGACACCCCAGACAGTCCCCTTGTTCTACGTAGCTGTGTTCTGCCCCTGCTGTGCCAGACCACAGGCCACTCCGGGAGCCCCAACTCCATTCCTTCCAGCTCCTTTCCACACCAAGGGTGGGAGGGGATGCTGCCCCCCCCCCTCAGATGAGGTTTCCAGAACTAGGGGCCCCAGCAGTGTGACCTCATAAGCACCTGCTGAACTGCCAGTGGTCTATGCAGGAAGACAGAGCAGGCATGTTACCATATGAGGAGACACCGCCTGTACCAGGAGCCCCATGGAAGGCTCTGGTGCATGCAAGCCTCCCCATGCAGCTCAGACCAGCTCTCAACCCTCCCCTGGCGTGTTCTCCTGTCCCCACTGTTCCCATTAGGAAAGAGGTGGAGGGGAGCAATCTGCTCTGGCCTCTGTTCCTCTTGCCTCAGGGCTGGCAGTGGGACTCAAAGGTCCCACTCGGGCTAGACAAGACGACCACCAGTGCCAGCTCTGCTGGAACATCAGTGCTCCAGCCTCCTGTCCCTCCCTAGACAGACAGGGCCTCCCAGACAACCACCTCTCCCAGCAGCAGTGAGTACCAGAAGGTGTGAGGCAGTGGCGAACAGAAGCTGTGGCTGCTGCTTCCCCAGCACTAGCCAGCTAGTTAGTGCTCCAGCTGGGGCCTGGGAGCAGCTCCTGCATTTGAAAAGAACAAGGCAGTTAATACACTCTGTGAACAGACCAAAGCAAGTCACCCGCGTCCCCGCATGCTCTGGTCAGAAACACATATACATTTCCCATGGAAACAGGCTCAGGACATCGTCTAACCCATCTTCATGTACTGGCATAGCACACACATCTCTTCATGTAGATGAACATACTTCTGCCTCCAATGAGGCAGAACAACTTCACACCACCACACTGTACTTGCCTCTGTCTCTAACTGAGCTCCTAACTCCTGCTGGCTGGCTCTGCCGTCCTGCACTGTACATACAGAGGGCCTCTCAGCCTTCTTGGGATAGGCACCGCTTGGAGACCTGTGTGAAGCAGGCTGGCCTCGTTCTCAAATTCTTGACATGTTCTTTCAAGTCATCCCTGCTAAGTGGGAAGTCTTTCTGAAGCTCTAGTCAGGAGTGAACCCCGATTTCTGGACCTCTTGCTGCTATTCCTATCTGTCCCTCACATGACTGCAAAGTCTCCTGCCTATGCGGTCTTCCTCAGATTCCCACTGCACTGCCACGTCAGCCACATCCAACATCAGTGTCCTTCTCCCATCACAGATCCCAGACAGCCTCGGGCTGCCCCCTCTTGCCCTGGGGTCTATGGAAGGTTACATGGCCCAAGGACTCCCAGATCTCTGTCATTACTTTCCTCTCTGCCATCTTTGTTGCCCTGCCAGACCAGGACACAAGCCTCTCTCTTTTCAATCGGCCGGACACACCAGGACATGCCTTGCTTCCCTAGTCAGACCACCCTTGCCAGCCAGAGAAATGCCCGCTGCCATGTGATCCTAATGTGTCCTTCTGCAGCCCTGCTATGTTCCCACCAGGTCCACGTGGAGGCTTCAGCTCCCTGACTGGCAACACAGCCTGCGGTTGGCACCCTCCTCCTGGTGAAGCCCAGCTTCCTGCCCCCTGCTCCGTGCTGCCTACACTGCCCTGCAGATTCACTCCAGAGCAATGGCATCTTGCTCACTACTTTGTCCCCAAGTGCAGCTCAAGCCCCTCCTAAGTCCTCAAGGCTCCCCAGAACTTCCTTACCCTCTTGGGTTCTGTTCTAGATTAATCCCGCGATGCTCTCTACTGAAGACAAGGTCACTCCACCCTTCTCCAAGACCTCTCAGGTATCCAGCAGAGACTGCTGTCCCCCTGCTGTCCTTTGTCCTGCCTCCTCTCCAAGTCCCTCCTCTCCCCCCCACCCCACCCCCGTTATTAGATTCATCTCCCCAGAGCCCGGAGCACAGCAGAATCTGATTAGCTCCCAGTGAGAGAGAAAGCAAGAACAGGTGACCTGCCATGGTTTGTCAGACTTCAGACAAGACAAAGGGCAGATCTGGGCCACGGGGTCAGCCACTTGGTCAGCCATAGCCTGCTTTTCCATCCTAGTCAGTCTCATAGGCAGAAATCCCAGTGAAGGTCTCTTCACAAGGTAGCGAGAGAGAGGGTGGCTTTACCATCTCTCACTGGAAATTCAGTCCTGAATTCCTGTGACGTGAGCGCCCGCGTGCTGCCTACACACACCACCCAGGGTGAGGCAGAACTCTTCTGTGTCAGGGGGACAGGGACCCCATGCTCTGCACCGGGCGGGCGCTTCCTACCCTCTCTGTTTAACCCTCAGCAGTACTGTGAGCGAAACAAGAGTGTTTGTCACCCCGGTGTCACAGATGGGAAACTAGGACTCAAAGGCAATAAAGTCCGCTCATAGTAACCATCAGCAAATTAGCTGATCCACTCGCGGCTGCTGCCTGTGGCCGCAGCTGTTAGAGACTGGAACGCCACAGCAGGGGCTTCCGGGCGAGTGTTAATGGTAGCAGGTGTTTTAAATAGGGCCATAGAGAGCTGGGGATGTAGCTCAGTGACAGACTTGCTGGGCCTACTCAAGATCCTGGATTTACTCCCCTGTTCCCCCAGCACTGCCGAAAATGGGATGGGGGCAGGGCAGGGAATGGGGATTAAAAACTCAGGCAACCCTGCATGGCCCTTCCCACCATGATACAGAAAAGGCACCATCCTTTGACAAAAGGCACAGTCCTCTGCTCTCCTCCCCAGGGGTCGAGGTCTCCACCAGCACAGTGGTTCTGAACTTCCCAGTGCCCAGTAGCTAGGGTGACGCTGTCACACTTTCCAAACACTAAGCCAGTCAAGGCTCTGGTGGCCCCTGCTGAATAAGGGACTCCCCCGGGTCCCTGCTCACGCTCAGTACTGCCACAGCAAAGAACAGGTGCTGCCCACAGCTCTCCGGGAGAAAATGGGTACAAGCGGGAGAAAGGGGGTGTCAGAGGAGTGCCTGAGCAGCGGAGACTCAGTTTCAATTTACTCTCAGGTAGGGCACCCAGCCAAGTGGTCCTGGGAGCAAGAAAGTCAGCCTGAGGAGAAAGCGAAGCAGCCTGGCCTCCGAAAGAAAACGGGGTGCTTTTGGTGCGAAGCTGAGGCGACAAAGTGATGCCAGAGGCGTGAGAGGGGCTGCCAGCTACAATCCCAGCACTCAGGGGCTACGGCAGGAGAATTCCAAATTCCAGGCCAGCCTGGCAAAAAATTATTGAGTTGCCCTGTGCCTCACGGAATCCTTTGGTAAAAATGCTCCCTGCTGCACTCAGTTCAGGATAGCTAAGAGCTCTCTGTGCCTGGGGCAGATGTCCCCAAGGCTCTGGAGAGAGTGGCTCCGCCTGTGGCATGCCTGCATCTGCAAGCTTCAAAAGGGTTTGAGTTGTTCCCCTGTGAGCATGCACCTGTGCATCATGGTCCCTGGTCACCCCAACAGTGAGAGCACCCTACCCTTCCTTCCAATGTGGATGCTGCTCCCTATAACCTGTCCTCACCTGTGTCCCCGAGCAGAACATGGGCTATGTGTTCCACAGCCTGGAAATGGCCACTCTCGACCCTAGGTTTCCTTGGCTTCCACAGACCTGTGTTCTCCCTCCCTTTCCCTCCTTCCCCATTCTTTTTATTTCTTTCAAGACAGGGTTTCACAGTGTAACCTAGGCTGGCTTCTAACTTGACATCCCCCTGCCTCAGCCTCCTGACTCCAACATCACACTTGATTCATGCCAGAGTCTTGCAAGGAATGGGGGCTCATGTGGCCCCTTACATGGCTACTCCCCTTCCTTCCTTAGAGTTCAGGGTGGGGTGACAGATCTCCGAACTGTGACAGTCAAGTAGATACACCCCCAATCTCTACGCACCACCTGCAGACTGGCTCCCACTTAATGCAATCACACAGGGACACAGCTACCCGCAGGGCTTAGCCTGTGCTGAACATCACGCTCCCTCTCCAGGCCCACTGTGCTTTATTAAAAGGCAACCATGCCTAACCTCATTACTGGTACCAGACACTGCTCATGCTGTACAGCCCAGGAGGCAGCAGTGGGGCAGAGGAAAGCTGGACAGTAGGAAACCTGGCTTGGCCACAGCCCTCCCTATCAGCTGCAGGCTTTAAGTGAGTTAGAAAAGACTACAGTGGGGGCAGGGACTAGAGCTTTCCTTGATGGGTGAGACCCTAAAATGTGACGAGACCAAAGGTGAAAAGAAGCGGAGCCGTTGCACAGGGCACCCAGGACGCTCCAGGCAGAAAGTGGGTCCGAGTCTGCGCCAGAACCCGGAACAGTTAAAAAACAAAGGGGCTCTTCCGTTTCAGAAGGGGAAAGATGCACTTTAAAGGTTGAAATGATTTAACTTTTAATCCAATATGCATGTTGTCTTTGTAGAAAATTTGAAAATGCCCTTATGTATTTTTATGGAGGAAAGCTCCGTGAACACCAAAGCACCCAGCACATCTCAGAGTTGCAATGCAGCCTGGGCCACAAATAAGTCAATTCAGAGTGTGTTCCACTGGTTACTGCTGTGTCCCTTCTCCGAGCTGGCCTCCTCAGCTCTAAGGGGGAGGGGCATGTAGACCTACATTACCGGACTGCAGAAAAGTTAAATGGAAAAAATATGCCCAAAAGCCTGGTACAGTGCCTGCCACCTGGTGAGCGCTCAGCCAAACAGCAGTTGAACAAAAATGGTATCCCTGAAGGTCATAAACAGCACAACCCCCCCCCCCAGTCAGGCCACCTGTTCCTCCTGCCCACCACCAACCCATGCCCCATTTATTCTATTATAGAAACTTCTAGAGTATGGAAGACTGTCAAACAGTCTGCATTGAATTGTTGTTGTTGGGGAGTGGTGTTGAACCAGCACCTCCCTCTGTAGCCCAGGCTGGCTTTAAACTTGCAATCTGCCTGCCTCAGCCTCCTGAACCCTAGGGTCACAGCCCCTTGTTGCCACACATGACCCAGATGGTAGTTTTAATCTCTGAAATTTTATATTCCCACTTTTATTCTAATTAATTATGAGTTAATTCGAAAATGGAGAGTGGAGCTCGGCATGGTGGCCTTGAATCCCAATGCTCAGATATCTGCAAGTTCAAGAAGCCTGCGCTCTGCCTACCCAGGCACAGGGGCAGGGCAGGGTAGGGCATCTGTGGGCGATCCTACTTCTGGTTCCAGGAGCTCCTCCTTCCCACAAGGGGTGGGGCTTGAGCAGACCAGGATTTTCCACCCAGGTCCAAGTGCAGGAAGCAATCCCGGTATTTAAGGGAGGTGCTTTGCTTTGCTTTGTTTTGCTATGAAAAGAACAGGACAGAATCCAAGAGATGGAACTTTTCTTAAAGAATTTTATAAAACTCTCAGATTGCCAAGACAGAATGGCAATTAAAAGGGAAGCCAGAGTCCACAGGAACCCTTCTGTGACTTGTAATGCCCCACGAGAAAAGGGCTAGGGGTAAGAGAAGTGACCGGAAAGGGGAGGTGGCCAGGTCACCACCACCAGGCGTCAAAGGCGACAGCAGATCCCTCCCTCCGAGAAGTTCCGCACCTCCAAAGCCAAAGCATGAAGCCAGGCTTTGTCCCAGTCTAGGAACTTCTAATTCCACCCGAGGGAAGCAGAAGAAGAAAGGATCTACCTGGCCCGCACTTGAGCGCAGGAACCAGCCGCGGGAACAGTGGGGGGTTCAGCTAAGAACGGACGTGGCAAACGCAGATGGGTCCACTCCCACCCACTTTATTTTAGAATATAGTCACAGACCCCTAGACTTGAACTCAGGTCCCCATTCTAACTCCAGCAGAGATGCGGCCCGAGATCCCC